TATTGCAACCTACCCAAAGATACAGCATTCAGAATGACATTCAAAAATTAAATGACCGGTTTGTAATTGGTCATCTTCATTCAGATGATCAGTTTGTTTGGTATGAGGAAAAAAAAATACAAAAGCAAAAAAATACTATGTAACTGCATTTCAAATTCATAGAGGTAGAAGGAAGAGTAAATGTGTTGTAAAAAGTTAAAAGAGCAAAATATCTACCTTTTGTACTTAGCTCCCAGCAATAAATATAGATAACAAATAACACAACCTGTCTCAAAACACGAAAGCTCAATGTGAGAATTGTCCATGTTAAATAATTAGGAAAATAACAATTCTCCACTTAAGGTTAGCCGAATAAGTAACATCTCATTTAAAGTTAGTTTTTAAAAGATGAATGTGTTGCTGTATATTATCAGTTACATCAATTGAAACAACAAGCACAGGAAAATGCTGCTGTAATTATATTAGTTAATCTAATCTTTAAAACTTAACCTCCCTGAAAGATGAGAAAATTCATTCAGGAAGAATGTTAGCTAATTCATGCCTCAGGGTTCACTGTATGGTTCTGATATACATAATAATCTTGTGCTTCAACCCTCTTATGTGCAAGTTGAAAAAACTGAACTCGTATAAGATGAAGGGGTTGCTCCATCACATGTTGGACAGGCACAGCATGACAACTAAAGCATTCACTCTTCTCCCCATCCTGGTCTCCTCTAGCACCACCACCCAACAAGCTGCCTTCTCTAGTAGGATAAATGTGATTTATAAAAATGTTAACTAGGGGGGATCCCTGGGTGTCTCAGTGGTTTAGCGCCTGCCTTTGGCCAAGGGTGTGACCCTGGAGTCCCAGGATCCAGTCCCACATCCGGCTCCCTGCTTGGGCCTGCTTCTCCCTCTGCCTGTGTCTCTGCCTCTTTCTCGGTGTGTCACTCATGAATAAATAAATAAAATCTTAAAAAAAAATAAAAATGCTAACTCAGCCTCTCTGACATGAATGAAAAATTTTAACTTGTGGAAAAGCAAATGTTATCATTTTAGTGAGAATCAACACGACTTTAATGATGGCAAAAGATTTTGGTTCAAATAACTCATGGAATGATAAGCAAAATCCTCATTATTAAATTTCTAATTCCCCATGGTATTCATTAATCCATCTAGATGTTTATCTTTATACACAGATATGATATGAATACATATAAACAAGCCTACATAAAGACCTTGTGGAATTTGAATTGTTCATATGTAAATGCTACAATTTAGTTCTAGGAGCTACCCTGGAGAAGAGTGACAACCAACTGGTGGGGCAGTAGGGCACATAGATTCAAATTCAATTGGATTTGTTCCTCAGCCACTAATTTTGTAAATATGACCTTGGGCAAGTTAATTCTGTAAACATTGGCTTTCTCAACTGTAGAGATAATAATTCATAGCGCATATGACTAAACAAGTTATACTGGACACAAACTGGTCAATAAGTGACATTTCTAATAGTCTTTTTTTTTTCATTTCTAATAGTCTTAAAGCCAAATATTTTCTGTGAATAATCATATTTTCAGTTAAATAATATTTTATCCTCCCAGATAATGGCCAAGTTATACAAACATGAAATTCTTATTGTTATTTATTAAATATATTATTCATTTTTAATATAAATATACTCTAGTACTACACATGCATAAAAAGGCACACCAATATTATGCACATGCACATATGTGCATACACACACACTCATAACTGGATCCATTTTCTTTTAAATCCTCTAGTTGAAAGAATATCCATTTTTGTTTTATTCACAAAATATGCATTAATGTGGTCAAGCTCTGTAATTTTGTGAACTATTCTCTTTGGGGCTTTTGTGATGGAATTGAAATGCTTTTCCTTCTCAAATTATCTCTCCACAGATGTTTTATAAAAAAACATCAAGATCTAGTTTTTGAGAGTGATGTGGTTGATTTAAAAATTAGGCTACTGCTTTTAGTTTAGCTGGGGATAATATAACTTTGTAGTTAATAAAATGACAAAGCATCTCCTAATTTCTTGACATGGTACTTTGATTAAAATGCTAAGAAAATGCTTTAAAAATGATAACCACAGGGCTTAGGGCTGGACTTGTCATATCAATGAGAAGAAGTTGGCAGGAGGTACCATAATATTAGTTTTATCAATGCCCTAAAAAACTCATTGATAGTTATATTAGAAAATTAAAGCTTTGCCCATCTATAGCTGCATATTTTGCTAAATACAAGATTCATTTGGTGAAAACATTCTTACCAATCAGCTTGACTAAAATAGTAGTCAGATTAGACAAAACGGTAACTTTTATATTATTTGGATAAAGTTAAAGCTTTAACCAGTTTTCAATTTCATGTTTTATTCAAAATGCAGATTCCTGGACCCTTCCTTGACCTTGACCCAGTGAACCAGAATTTCTTAGAGGAATTTCTCAGAACTTATAATAAGATTTGAGAACCTCTGGCTGAGACCATGTAATAATATTTGACTATAAAATGGCATTGTGTAGGAAAGCAAAGGAGAGTTTTGGATTAATACTAGAGGCCCAGGTGTTTTTCGGGGTTCTGCTTCTTATTGATGGTTTGATCTTTTATAAGCATTGAGCCTCCCTGAGCATTTATTTGTTTATGTTACCCGTCAGGGTTGTTACAGGAAGCCAATGTGATAGTGCACATGAAAGCACTTTTAATCTGTGCTGTGATACAAATGTAAAATAGCATTATTATGACAGTTATGTTTAATACAAACTCTTTAAATAATAATCCAACTGTCTAATGAAGTTGTTTCTTTTCCCATATAATGTTAAACATTAAAGGACATAGTCTTGGTATCAAAATAGAAAATGCATTATGGAATGCAAATCAGGGTGGGACATGAAGCAGTGAAGGCAGGTTAGAGTGGTCAGCATCTCAGGTCTGAGCTGATCTGAATTGATCTGAGCAAATGGGGAAAGTGCTCTGAAGCAAGGTGGAGTCCCATGACAACCACTGGCTGCTACACGTACAGCAGATAGAAAATTAATGTCTATGCCTGAATCTACCTAATAAAACTCTAGAAGTCATAAAGACTATGAGCTGACCATAAATCAGGCATGGAGTCCTGCAGCTGGAGCAGGAGGCTGAGTCCTGGAATGCACAAAGGAGAGGAGGACATTTTTATTTTATTTTATTTTATTTATTTTATTTTATTTTTTATACTTAGCCAGAGCAAGACCTCTTTAGGGCCTGGAATCCAGTTCTTGGCCTGCTCATCAATAGCACTTGCTAAAAATAAAATTAGAAGACCAGTACACATGTAACAATCTTTTTTTTTTTTTTTACAATAGAACTTTTGATCAGAGAACTCAAGAAAAGAAAACGAAGAACCCCTTCCGTGAATATTTTCCAGTTACTGAAGAGTGAGCCTGGAATAATGGCAGAGTGTTACGTAAGCATTGAGGTCATCAGTCAGTAGCATAAGAAAGGGGTCATTCCTACTGTCCTCCATATCTCCTGAAATATCATGAGCCCTTTGATCATTCACTCATTCAATAGATATTTTTAGAGTACTTTTTAATATGTCAGACACTGTTTAGGTAGCTACTGGAAGAAGAAGAAGAAGGAGCAAGGCAGATGTGGTTCATGCCCTCAGGAAGCTATGTTTGTCCAGTGCAGCATCCGCCTACTGTAGATAGTTGGCAAAAGGGGCCACAATGATTTCCCTCCCTATATCCACACCCCTTTGCAATGTAACTGCAGCTTCTACCATCAAGAGGTAAGGTCTGTTTTCTACTCCTTGAACCTATAACTTGTGACCACCATGAGGAAAGCAGGGGCTAACATGCTGGAAGATGAGGTTCCATCAGGACCTTGCCATTCTTGCAGGGGTCATCCCAGACCAGCTAGCTGACAGCAGTTCTGGCAGCTGCTGCTACCCCTGCAGTGAACCCACCTAAGACTGAAGAATCTTCTAGCCCAGACCTGCTCAAACTACTCATATATGGAAGCACAAACTACATGAATTTTGCTGTAAGCCACTATGTTTTGGAATGATTTGTTACATAGCAAAAGCTGACTGAGTAACCCTTAACTATGTAAATATGATTCAAAATTTATTTTGGGCACAGAATTTTCTCATATGGCTTATCAAATTACCTTAATAACTGCCAACTCTTCATTTTACGCTGTAGGGACATGGTCTCAGTGTATAGTTGTCAGAATACAGACACCCTGGGAAGGTTTGATATTGGATCTCTGATCTGCAGAATATGAAGTTGACTAGTGCGCTTGAAATGTGACATATAGAATATATTTCTTCGAGAAAATACAAATACACAGGCAGGACATAAACATCTACCACAGCACCAACTCCAAACAAGCAGTTAAAAAGTTCATGCAAATCCAATTAGCCTTGTTTCCCAAAAGAATGGCGCATGGTGTAAAAACAAAAACATGAATGAAGAAACAAACAAACAAAAAACCCCAAAACCTGTCAGATTCTGAATTTGTATGATTGATCAACTATGTCCTATAGACACAGCCATAAAGTCTCTGATTTTTCCTTCAAGTAATTTCATTATTTTGATACATTATCAAATCTCTCACCAAAGGCTTATGTCTCCTTCCAGATGTCTGTGGAACCGCCTTGATTCTAACAATGACACATCAGTGGAGATGAGTGAAAGAGATCTTTGATTTATCTTAATTTTCAAATATGTCAGAGTGTCTTTTCCTCTTTTCCTCTTTTCCTGGCAGTGGCTCTTCTCTGTCCAGCCCTCCCAGCTGGGCATTTTGGGAAAGCAGCCAATTCCAGGGCTAATGTGTTTCTGCTGTTATCTGACACTGACGCTGCTTCATAGAGGCAGCAATGAAGATAAGCCCTAATTGGATGTATTTTTAAAGCAAACCTTTTAGTTACTTAGAACAGAGCTTCCTCAATTAGCTTCCTTTCTCCTCTCTCTGGCTGTGCAGGAACCACACTAATGTGAAAATGCTGCATCTGGACGGGAGTCAAGAGCAGGGTCGGGGCAACTGCAGGACAATCATGCTGAACAGGAGAAGCTCTCCGCCAGGCAGGCTGGGAGCTGTGTTTCCCGGAGAGCAGGTGAGGGAAGCACGCTCAGAGGATTCGATGGGACAAGAGGCCCCAGCAGTGGTCCTGGGTAAGGCTACCCGCAGCCACACCCCAGTGTGCCCGCAAGAGAGGGAAGGTGGGGCACGCCCCGACTGAGATAGAGTCAATACTTGATAGCGCTCCATCCCTGTGCTTGAACGGAAGTACTTTGTTCCACTGCAAAATGTGTTAACCTTGGTTTAGGATTGAGAGTTTTAAATTGCATTCTGCAATGTATTATCCTCAGGTCGGAGGAAACCTATTTGGATCCCTACCCGTTTTAAGGTACTCACAAGCCTTTGATAGCTGCTGAGGGGGAGAGCTGTTTAGTAGAAGAGGCATGTTTAGAGGTCTTGATGTGGAAAAAAATACAGAGAAAAGAAGCAGAGTAGAAAAACATTTCTTTCTGGCTTTTACCCAGCCTGAAATGGAATTAGAAGGGACACATGGTAAATTAGTAATTTCCCTTTGGTTGGCAGTGGGTCTGCCATCATTATCTTATACTGGCTAGGGGGCCCAAGTTCCCAAGTTCCTTTCAGCATTAATATCAGCACTGTGAGGATTAGCATCCCAGAGGGATGATCATTTGGGCCTCCTTAGGCTAGGCCTGTGGTCAGTAGGAAAGGATGAACCTAGGTGAGCCTGGGACACGGCAGTGGGGATAGGGGGAAGCAGAGTGAGGCATGGGGAAAAGAAAACTGAGAGCAAGCAGCCGCTCTGTACTGTAAGGCTTTCCCTCTGCCTCCTCTGGTTAGGCTTCCTAGTCACTTTTACGGAGGCATCTGTTCTCACAGTCCTGGCCCCTGGCCCTATGAAGTTGATGGCTCTGACTCAAGGATTTCCTTCATGGCACGTTGGAATTTGAAATCTGTGTTATAAAATTACAGAGGTTGTGATTTTTGGATGTTGGCACTATGATTTGCAAATTTACTTATTTAAATTAATATTAGTAGTGACGTGGTATGTTTAATTTACCGTCTAGGTTGGATTCCAAATTTTGCATCATCAGTGGCTTATCAAGGTCATATGAACTTAGAGATAATTTTTTCTCTTTTTGATTCTCATCTGATGATCATACCGTGTATAAATCTTGACTCTTTGGTGCAGGCCACACTCTGTACTCTGTGCATAGGAATATATCTTACAAAAAATCATCACTCCTCACCATATTAATCCTGACTGGTAATGACTGTTCTAAAACTGAGTTAGTTCTAATAATTAAATAATATGTTTGCTGTTCTCTCTAGAGTTCAGGTATAAAAATTGACAAACCGATGGCTGAACAAGTTAGGCTGGCTTTTTTTTTTTTTTTTTGTCTTTTTTCCTTTGCTGTGACAGTGATTTGCTGGAAACATCTGGCACCCATCACCACTGTGAATGAAGTGATGACCCTTTCTGTTTAACCACAGAACCAGAACAGGACTGACTTTTGAGAAGTGACAGGGATATTGGAATGATATGCATGAAACATATAACATTAAAGAAAATGAGAAGAATTTAGCATCACTTCCTCAATGTGCTAACATCATTAATTTTGCATAGAAGCAACAGCTGTGAAGATACTGATTTTTAGCAGCTTTATGAATTTCTAGTTGGCATATCTCTCTATATAACTAAATATATACAAATTATATAATGGAGTATCTCTCTGTCACAATGACCATAATTTTGCTCCTCACCTCCCTCAGTCCTCATGGTAGGAACCTCCATCCATTCGTTACGGATCCACTGCTAGGGATTAAAACTTTGGATTGGTACAAACTAATTTTTATGTCATCCCCAGTAGGTGTACCCAATTCTAGAAGCTGCATACCTGATGGTTAGTCCTATCCACTGTATTGGCCGTGGAGGGGTGGTCTCTAGTGTTCTGACGGATTCGAGTGGAGTTTTGTTGCTCAATGGTGGAGGAGGTTGGGATACAGAACTCTCTGAAGCATCGTTTGAAGTTTTCATCCAGAAATGCATAAAGGACTGGGTTCAGGCAGCTGTTTGTGTAACCTAGAGCAATACAGAAGTGCCAGGAAACAGTCTGGAATGTAGTCTCTGGGATTGTGATCAAGGCTTTAATGATGACGTAAATGTGAATGGGAGTCCAGCAGACAATGAACACAGCCACAACTACCAGCACCATCCTGGTGATTCTTCGCAGATTCCTGTCCTTTTCTTTGGAGCCAGAGAGCATACGGACGCTCTTGAGGCGTAGGATCATCAGTCCATAACACACTGTAATGATGAGGACAGGCATGATAAAGGCAAAGATGAAAACGCAGATTTTCAGCAGGTTTTCCCAGTACCAGGTTGGGTGAGAGAATGTGAGTGTACAATCTATGGAACCTAGAAAACAATAATTATAAGGAAGAATTAGCAACAGCATCTAATTATAGCTTTGACCAGAGCTAACTTAAACCCATTAAGAGAAGTCAACAATGGAAGATTTAAAGAAATTGAGGGAGAAACTCAGCTCTCTGTTGATTTTTAGGGGGAGTTAGTTTTTAGATTTTTTTCCTTAATATCTCATTTTTTCCATTTTAATCACTTTAAGCTTTCATTCAGTCAATAATTGTAGAACTTTTCACTGTGAGCTAGATCCTCTGTGGAGTCTATGTTGACATAAAAATATAATCACAGTCCAAAGGCTAGAGGAGGTACAAGCTAATGGATATTTTCATTCCACTTTTTGATGGGTGGTTCATCATTCTGACATGAGGACTAGAAAGATGTATTTGTCATATGGGCAGGCACTTGAAATTTTAAAACAAGCCTCCACCTAAGGTTTTCTGGAATTTAAGTTCTAATTACTCTTGGAAGAGCTATATTCTTATTTTCCTATCATTTTGATGATGCAGAGAAATCAGGAAACAATAGATTATATTTTAACATGTTTAGTGAACTTAAAATTTAGGGAAAAATTCCTACTACAAAAAATTCAAAGGCATTTTGCTAGAAAAAAATCGCTCAAATTACAATCTAATATGTTGGACCACTCCATACTTGACTCATGACTTTATCAGCATGTCAGTCTATAAGTCCTTTATCCCTTATTCCTGCAACTTACCATGCCTGTACTTTGTTGTTGCCATAAACATTACAGGCAAACCAATGGCTGAAGAGAGGATCCAGTTGCAAACATTGACTATTTTGGCATTGCGGGGAGTACGGAAATCCAGAGCCTTGACGGGATGGCAGACTGCGATGTAGCGATCAACACTCATGGTACAGAGGGTAAAGATGCTGGTGAACATATTATAGTAATCTATGGAGATCACAATCTTGCAGAGGATGGTTCCAAACGGCCATGTTCCCATTAGGTAATTGACACTCTGGAAGGGCAGGGTACTGGTTGCTAAGGCATCTGCTAGAGCAAGGTTGAAAATGTAGATGTTGGTAGCAGTCTTCATTTTGGTGTATCTAGGAGATGAAGGAGGAGTGGTGGCAAAGTCAGAAGAAGACCAATGTGAAATATAGATCAGCTTCCAATAATAAAAGATATTGCAAGAGTTAGTGGAAGCACTTGAGATTAGATATGGAAGGACTCGTTTCTAATACTAGATTGGCTCCTTATAATCATGTGGCTATGAGCTAAATACAGTTTCTCTACCTATCAGTTTTATAATCTATAAAATGGTTATAATAACAGCTGCCATACTGATTTATCACATTTTTAAAAATGTGCCAGGCACTGTGATAGATGTAATAGACACAGGGAGCTCTCAGTCACATATCCAAGTCTTACTGATATTCATGAAATGACTATAAAATGAATAATAATTCATTTTAACTCTAAATATGTAAAGGAAAAATTTCAGATATATATAGTTAAAAGTATGGAAAAGTGTAATCATGCAAGAATGGGTTTGTATATATATATCAATGTAATGGTGCAAGTGTGTTTATATGCACATATAAACATATATCTGTATACACACACAGATTATTATGGTGGCAGAAAGAAGAAATGAAGGGAATAGAAGGGCTAAGATAAGGGAAGAAGGAAAGTATCTCGGAATGGTAGATATGCAAGTTTAATCTTATATTGGTAAGAGTAGGTTATTCTAGATAGGTAGACCACTTAAACAAAGGCATGAGTTGAAATGGCTCAATGCATGTGTTTTGGCTCTCCCAAAAGGTAAAATCCCACCAGAGAATGGCAACAAATCTGAAAGGGTAGGAACGCAGAGGCTGGTTCTTGGAGGGATTTGTATGCCGTGGCAAGAAGATTGAACTTTATCCAATCCATGGCGAGGAAGCTAAGGCTGTTTGTTTTGTTTTTATTTTTTAATAGCTTTATTGAGGCATAATTGACATACAATAAATGGCATGTAATTAAAGTGTGCAATTTGATAAGTTTTGACATATGTACACACTTGCGGAACAATCATCTTAATTAAGATCAGGAATTGGCAAACTGCAGCCTGCAAACCTGGTTGGGCTGCTGCCTATTTGGTTGGAACACACTCGCATTCACTTAATTACTTCTTATCTTTAGCTGTTTTGATGATGCAGTGGCAGAGTCAAGTAGTTGTGACAGAGACCATGTGGCCTTCAATGCCTAAAATATTTACTATCTTACCCTTTACAGCAAAAAATGACAACTCTTGATCAAGATAATGAACATACCCATCACCCCTAGGAGTTTCCTTGTGCAGGTCCTTAATCTTTCCATATTCTCTTCCCTGCCTTGACCCCTGATCTTGATCTGCTTTCTGTCATTTTAGGTTAATTTTCATTTTCTAGAATTTTATGTAAATAGAATCATTCAGTGTGTACTCTTTTTTTGTCTAGCTTCTTACACTCTGCATAATTATTTTGAGATTCATCTACATCTTGTTGCATGTGTCAATAATGCATTCTTTTTTATTACTAAGTATGGATATTATTATTACTGAGTATGGATATAGATATCATTGTGTGGATATGCTAAACTTGTTTATCTACTCATCTATTAATGGGAATTGAGTTGCAGTTAGTTTTTAGATACTGAAAATGAGCTGTTATGAACATTAATTATATCTTTGCATGAACATATGTTTTTCTTTCCCCTGTGTAAGTACCTAGGAATGTTATGTTTTCAAAGCCACAGAAATTAGAATTTAGAAGAGAGAAGCAGGTATATTGACAACGCTAATAAATTATATATGATGTTGGAAGAATATCTTGCTAATGTATTGTCAAATTGTGAGATGTATTTGACATTCCACATCTGTTTGCCTTAGTGTTAGGAACAGTACTCAATTTCACTCTGGGAAACCACTCTTTTTCCATTCTTAGTCTGAAGGTTTTATATTGGGCTCTATTACTAGTTTAAGGCATCAACATGTAAAGTGATTGGGGCCATGGTGAATGAATGTTCAGGGATGGTCTCATGTTTCAACCAGAGCCAATAAGATTTGGGGGGGGACTTCTGGAGAAAGAATAAACTATTTTTAGATAATTAAACCTGAGAGAATGTAAGGTTCTTGGAAGGGTCTGTCTGAAAGTGGATCCAACACAGAGGGTGTGAATTTAAGAGAGCAAGAGAGGAACATCTACCTGAGCTTTGGACTTTTTGTTTACATGGTGCAATAAATTCTCTTTAAACTTTAGCATGTGTTTATTTTTCAGTCACATGAAATTAAGAAGCTAACTCTTTTAGTCCAAGATGGCTGTTGGTTGGAGGAGGTAGTGTTATGGACTCAATTTTTTAGGGCCCTAAATCAGTGTTCAGGAAAGTTTTGGTTTCAATAAGCACTGGGAAGCTGCAGTTATAATGGAGGATTCCATGAACCCTCTTAGGGTCAACAGGCTCGAATTGTTTATTTGAGCTCTAAAATTCTGATGCCCCATCTTGTCTGTTAAAATTGCAGATGTTGCATTAATGCCAGAGAGTCAGATCTGGGGCCTTTTGAATTGCTTTAGAAGTTTGAATCCTCTAAAAGATTTATAAAGGAAAAGGTAGAGAAAACCATTCAACTTGAGGAGGTAAAGCAATTTGATTTCAGTGAGGACTTTAAATGTGGCAAACATAAAAAGGTTAATTTAGACAAGATCCTCCAAAGTCCAACAACAAACAAATAAAAACAAGATTAAAAGTATAACTTTAAAGATTTTAGAATAAGTGACTTGGATGCTCAAGAAGTTTAAAAATTTTTGATATTTACAAAAATAAATTTCTCCCACAAAGAAGGAAAAAAAAACCCCAACTGTGTTAGCTACACCACTGATAACAGATCTGCATGATATAAAAGCATGCTCAACTACATTAGTCACTTTCTCACCCAGCTAACCTTACATTTCACATCTTATCTTTAAGAGTGTATTATGTTAAATAATTAGGTTCTTTACTGGCAGTTTTATGACTCATCATACCTTTAACCTTTTCTTCAGGCTCATCTTAGCACTAGGTATTTATTGATGCATGTTTATTTCAGCTAAAAAATTTTCCTCCCCCCGGGATGAGATGTTTGTGAAACAAAATTAGGCTAGGGTCCTACATCACAAGAGGAAAAGTGAATATCTACAGAAGCTGTTTCAATTGGCATTTTACAGGAATAAAGCTGTTTGAATTTTCTCAATTTATCCAAAGAGCCTTTCTCTAAAGATAGCCGATGTTCTTACCCCAATTACTCACACTTTGAGTCACAGCAACATACAAAAGAGGGCTTAGCAATTTCCTAAATATATGTCAGAGAATTATACAAGACCAAAGGTTTGAGAATTCTAGTTGCCTCTAGCATATCTCTAAAGGCTTTAATCTAAAGGGACAGTCTGATCAGAAAAGGGATCATGCAGTCCAACAAACACGGGCTTTTCATTCTGTTCTGTTCTGATGCAGTGGTATGAATGCTGCCCCAGAAAAGTTACATGAACAATCAGAGTCACACTGTAAATCATAGAAGAATATAAACCAGTGTTAGCAAACATGCCGAAGAGGTGAGCTAAAGGAAGGACCATCCTTGCTTGTTCAGTTTACCTGAGTGGATCTGAGTAGAGCCCCTGGATATTAACACTGTACAAGCCTGTTTCAAAACATCCTTTGTACCTATTCCTTCTTACCGTGCCATAAATGAATTTGGTGACAAAATGGACAAAGTGACATAGGAGGGATACATGGCATGTCCTTGGAGTGTCTCCTGAACTCCCAGGGCCTTTCTGACCTTGACTGGTTTCACCATGCCCACTGAAAAGGGGCATTTCCTCTAGGCAGAGGCTCAAGCTATTTTTTTCTTTTTAATTATCTCCATTGAAATTTTCCTAGTATGTATTTTTAAAAGTCTGTTCTATGTGGTTGAGTAGCTTATTTGCTATGTAAATCCAAATATATAACTATGCAATAATTATTTTTGAAAAATTATATTCTCAGGACCTTCAGGGTTTGACCCATTTATGGAGCTTCTCGATGCTGTGTTGGGGAAAGAGGCAGTATGAATTCCATTTCATTAGCATCTCAAATATTCTCCTGGATTTCATATATACTTTTTGTTTATAAATGCCCTTCCTCTCTTTGTGTTTACGAAAGAATTCCTATTTATTTTCAGACCCATTCTTGATGCCAATTTTGCAATTACTACTAGTTGCCAAAACATCATTGATTTTGACCAACTTATGTTAAATGAAGCCACACTGAATCAATTACTTGTGTATACCCAATGGGCTTTGCAAACCTTTTGTTGTTATTGTTTAATTTGAGTTAATTTTTGAATTGTGATCGCCTTGTCTCTGGCCAGAAAAAAAAATGACCAAGGAAGCTTGAAAAGAGGAAGAACATATTTTAGAATCCAGTTTGTCAGTCTCGTGCCATGTCAAGCCCTTCACATTGCTCTGCTAGAAATTCACAGCAGAGCGAATTGGGATGTGCAGAAGACTTTCACCTCTTTTTGAACTAATTTTCTGCTCTCTATGTTTTTACCAAACGGATTTTTTCTCCCTTTTTTCCTGTTTGCTAATCCCAGTGAAGTAGAAAGGTACCTAATCTAGTAAGGATTCAATGAACCCTTTCTAGCACTTTTCTTGTAAAGATACTTTTCTTCCATCTGCTCTTTTATGTCTACTCACCCTCATATAAAAAATTCACACTTTTAATAGAGAAAATAAGTTATTAATTAATGAGCAAAGTGGTCATATGACTATCTACTTAAATTTCTCATTGTCCATTTCATTCTGATATTTCAGGCAAGCGTGTGTGTGTGTGTGTGTGTGTGTGTGTGTGTGTATGTGTGAAAGAGAGAGAGAGAGAAAGAGAGATTTGAGGTCTAAAACAAGAGCCAAAGTCAAAGTCAGTGATGATACTCTCATTGAGTATTAACATAGAAAGAGACCACATACTAATTATTATTTTCTGTTACGTTCTCTATTAATGGAAGTGGGAACAGGGGATTACTCACTTTGCTATCTAGAATGTTTTAAAATATTACACTTACAATTATTTCAAA